GATCACAAATGCAGACATGGTTTTATGTTTACGCGGCGCAATGCAGCGCAACGCGTAAAAAGACAGTATAAGTCATTATAATCAGTAATTATGTCCCCACTGGATGCAACGAATGCCTGGTTTATAATGGGTTTTATTGTTTTTGTCTCGTTGCTCCGGCCGGACGGCATCACAGTAGGGTAAGGGGCGTAACATTTCCGTCACACGCTTGAGGTATTCGACCAATCATAACGCACTGGATAGCTGGCCAATCACAGCACACCTCGCTTTTCAGACCGATGAGCTTTGTAAAAATCAACATGTTTCAGAAAGGCGGGGCATAGAGGAGAAACAATAATGTACAGTATGTGGAAAAGAATGTGTTTTTTGAACCTTAAACCGCATAAACACATTTCATTACACCAAATACACAAAATAATGTTATTTTTAGCAACATCATATGACCCCTTTAAATGTCTAAATATGTCCAAATAATTTTTAGGGCCACTGTGTGTGATTTTTTTCATCTGAGTAATAAATAATGTCAGTTGGGATTTCATTCTGTGGCTTTTTATCATGTTAGCATCAGTGTGTTTACATGATCTATTCTGAATGACTAAACACTCACCACTGCTTTCCTCTTCAGGAGCTGTACTCTCCACCTACATAAAGCAAAATAATAGTAATATAACACATTTCATTGTAACACAGAGAGGCAAAAATCTGCACTAATACCAAGAAAAAATATGATCACTGCAGTACTGTGCTTGTGTGAGCACAGTGTACTTTATTCAATCTAACTTCTGAGGGAGTTTTATGTAGCCTACTTAGTGTAGGCTACACACTGAATAATAAGTATGTGCGAAAGTCACAAAAGTAAAACAATGTAAGAGAGATAAAGCCGGAGGACTAACAGGAAGACCAAGTTTAAAGTTAGATGGACAGTATACATGAATTACCGGTGAATCAGTTCGTGAGACAGAGGTGCTGGTAATGGACTGAGGTTGCTGAGTGATCGGCTCAGGTTCTTCTTCGGCGTCACTGGAGTCCCTGGGCTCCTCCTCGTCGAGAAGCTGCTCAGGCTCTAGTTCCTCCTGTAGAGGTGAAGAGGACTTGAACTCCTCCACAGGGGTTTGAACTGTGAAAGCAGTGTCTACAGCCTCTGCCTCTTGTCCTTCTGGAAGAAACTCCTTAACTGAAGGTACTTGACACCTGTGTATACACAAGTCATGAAGCAGACATCAGCTTTTATCTAAACAACAAGCTAATCACATCGGTAAGCAACTAACACATTTGTGTCAGCTATAAATAAACTCACATAAGCACAATTTTCGCATGATGGAGCAACAACAGACTGAGATGTGCCTGTTTTGATTTCCAAGAATCTCTGGTTAATCTTAAACATTTCCAAAATATTATAAACTATAAACTGGCTTGACGCGTTACCGTCGTGTTTATTATAATGAACTTACTCTGAAATCAGACGCGGTCTCTGAATGCATCAGGTAACGCAGTATCCATATCCATCCATTTTTGTGCCGTTTGTTCATAAATTAACGTGATGGAAGTTGTATGATATATTGACGCGATTAACTAGAACGATAAAAATGTTTATTTTGGAAGTGGGGAATCTGCGCCATCCTTCACAGAGTCGAGGCAGAAAACAAGCATCAGAGGCGCGATTAGTAACTATAGCAACCGCAGAGCGGGCACCGTGAGTCTCTATGGGATGCTATGCGGTTGCCAGGACACAACATAATATTGAAATATTAAGCGGTGCACCGGAAATGCGGGTATTGTAATTATGTGTGGCCATATTGTTATAAAACAATGATATAGCCTACAAATACAGAGAAATACAAATAAAACATGTTCGCTACAAGGAAAGCATGAGAACAGTTGATTGAATTTATAATAATAAAAAAAATTCCCAGTATGTCTTACTCTGCAATTTGATTTCGTATGACTTCTATATCACTTTCCTCTTCCTGCAGCACTTGTAATCTGTGACACAGAAAAATTCAAGTTATTAAGGTTTTGGTATGCATATCAAGGATGTTACCAAATATTTAATATTAGAGGGACAAATGGTAAAATTTCAAGAATTGGTCACTGAAAAGCCAACAGTTGTGCTGCTTAATATTTTTGTGGGAAACATTATACTTTTTTTCAGGAGACTTTGATGAATAGAAAGTTCAAAAGAAAGCAATTATTTGAAATATTTTGTAACATGAATAAAACTATATAAGTTTTGAATCTTACTTACCCTACCCATTGTAATGAATCACAATTTCCACAAAATATTCAGAAGCAAAAACGGTTTTGAA